GTAGAGAGCTGACCTGGCATGTATCATGAAAACTTGGCTAGGGGAGGGTGAGAGGTTTTTGTTGTTGTTCAGTCACACAGTCGAGTCCGACTCTTCGCGACCCCATGGACCAGCTCCCGTCAGGCCCTCCTGTCTTCCGCCGTCCTCTGAAGTTGGCTCAATTTCATGTTCATTGCATCGATGACACTGTCTAACCATCTCATCCTCTGCCGTTCCCGTCTTCTTTGACCTTCAATCTTCCCCAGCATCAGGGTCTTCTCCAGTGAGTGCTCCCTTCTCATTTGGTGGCCAAAGTATTTGAGCTTCAGTTTCATTATCTGGCCTTCCAGGGAACAGTCAGGGTTGATTTCTTTTAGGATTGACTGATTTGATCTTCTTGCAGTCCAAGGGACTCTCAAGAGTCTTCTCCAGCACCATAGTTCAAAAGAATCTATTCTTCGGCGCTCGGCCTTCCTTATAGTCCAACTCTCGCAGCCATACATGACTACTGGGAATACCATTGCTTTGACCATAAGGTAGTGCTGATCTTTTTTTATTAATTAGGTTATTATGTTAATTATTATAATACATTGATTGATTAACAATATACAGGTGTGGGTTTTTTTGCTGGATTAAAGCTGTAGTCAGTTTTAAATTCTAGAATTCACAGAACAGTAGGTGATACCATTGTATCTGCCTGTAGCCCAGTTAACGCTGTCTGTTGCTGTCTGGCTCTGCCTTTGTCCAGTAAGTCAGAACTGGGGACAGAACTGTGCTTTCTGGGCAACAGCAATTGCTTTGGACTTTGCTCATGGCTGTCAGATTGTATCCCATGCAGATTTCTGAAGGTGGGATTTTTTGGACCATTTCCCCCTTGTACTATAGACCCCAGCCCATTCCTCATGCTGCTTCTGCATCTCCCCTGCCCCCCCCCCGCAACACTTTAGGGTGTGTATTTTGGTCTGCAGCAGGAGAAGGGAGGTGAGGAAGTCCCATTCAATACTACAGGATCCAAGCCATTCACCTGCACCAGAAGATCCCTGCATGTCCTTATTTTCTTTCTCAAGATGTTCTCACTCTACATATAATGGCAGACAGACTGAAGGATGTGGCACAGCTCTATACAGTGGTGTGCTCTGGCCCACAGTCTGGGAATTGCTGCTGTAAGGCAAATGGTATCAGCAACAATGTGTGGCTTTGAAACTGTACCATCTTCAAGATCATGTGAACAAGGAAAGGCCACCCAAATAGCTCATTCACAACTAACAGATTACCAGGGAACATTATACACATTAAAAATGGCTGTTTCCTATATTATTTTACATCCAACACAACTGAACACAAGCTGAAAAACCTGCATTAGAAACAGAAAGGAATATTTAAAATCTTTTTTAAAGCACTGAGATGTTGAGATAGACATGTCAGGGATGTTCTTTCTCAGCTGTGCTATTTGCTAAGCAGTATTTATAGTTTTACTCACTGAAGTATACAGAATGTATTAGAGATAAATTAGCCAGAATACATTTAAAATCAGTCTATATGCTGATGACATGTTATCTATGTTGCATCCAAAAGGAATCTCTGATTATAAAATCAATAGAGCTGAACTTAAACTATTAGGACTTTTAAAAAGAAGTATAATAAGTGGAAAGATATAAACTTCTGCACAGTGTTATGATTTACTGAAACTACACAATAGTCATTTTGAAACATCAAATATAAGGAACATTAAAGAATAACTACTTGCAGAATAAGAACAATTAAAACTTATTTGGTTGGTCACATCTAAGAAATCATTGGCTAGGAGTGGTTGTCACTATTAAAATGATTATAATTCCAAGTTTGTTGTTCGTATTGTACCTGTCTTTCTACAGACATTTTAGAAGCTGGGAAAAATATTAACTGCTCTAATCTTGAATGAGATAAAATCCACACTGTAGCCTTAACTACTTTTCAAAAAGTAAATTAAAAAGGAGGCCAAAACATAGCCTGATGCCATTGTGCAGTGAAGTTGAAAATGATTTTAAAACGAAAATGATATTCTGTGATTTGCTGTAGAGTCTAGATCAAGATGTCTGCTAGTTGTCTGCTGCAGCTAGTGAGGTTGCCAGGGGAAAAAGAAGACACACATTGTTTGTACCTCAGTCTGTGAGGCTCCAGGACTGCTATGCAAAGTTTTACAAGATCTAGCATTTGGCTTCAGGCCTCGCAGTACTGGAAAATGCAAGAGAGAAACAGGGCGCCCATGAAGTCCTTTCCCAGCCAGTAAGGGCAGGCATGCAATTAGGGTTGCCAGGTCCTCTCACCACTGCGGCATGGGGATTTGGGGGGGGCATTTCGTGGGTGAGCGGGGATGCCCCAAGCCCTGCCCCCAAGAGTGACCACCCACCCAGCTACCCATCTCCCTCCCCTCCTGCCAGATTTAAAGGGCTTCAGCTGATTGGCGGACACCACGTGGCCCACTGATCAGCTGGAGGGCTCTTTAAATCTAGCAGGAGGGAGGGAGAGGGGGAGTCGTGGACCATACACCTGGCTCAAAAGATAGCCTTCAAAGGGTCTTTTTGTGAACAGGGTGGGGGCTGCTGATTTTTCCCAGCCCCACACACCGCAGTCCCCATCCCACTTGCAAAAAGACACTTTATGGGGTCTTTTTGTCATCTGAGCATGCTGACTGCCCCTCTCCCACCCTCCTACTAGATATAAAGACCACCCTCCTCCAGCTGCTCAATGGGCCACATGGTCCCTGCCGATTAGATGAAGCCCTTTAAATCTGGCAGGAGGGGAGGGAGGGGGTGGCCTGGTGGGTGGTCAGTCTTGGGGATGGGGCTTAAGGGTGGGGCTTTTCCCACCAACCGGGGCAGATTGTAGCACCCAAAAGTGGGGGACCCCCTGCCCAGACCTGAGAGCTGGCAACTCTACATGCAATACATTTCACCCAGGGAATACGTTGAGCAAAGGAGAACCCTGGGCTTCAGCTCATTGGTCTAAATGGAGCTGCCCTGACCTGGATAGCCCATGCAAACCCAGTCTCATCAGATCTCGGAAGTTAAGCAGGATTACTTGGATGGGAGACGTCCAAGGAATACCAGGGCTGTGATGCAGCCAAAAGGCAAGCAGCCGCTGGCGGAGGGAACCCGTGCGTTTGCTCCAGCTCTCCCTGCCCTGTCATTCAGTCAGAGGCAGCACTTGGAGGCCAGCTGAGGAGAGCCAACAGGAAATCCTCAATGGAAGGAAAAGTCCACTTTGGCTCCCTCCCTCCCTCCCTCCCCCCCCTCTCTCTGTCTGGTTGGTTGCCTTTCTTGTTTCCTCCTTTCTTTCTTCCTTGGGCCCAAGTTGGGAAGCTGGACTGGCAGCAGCGCCTCTCCCTTAGAGGGAGGCTTCTCATGCTTCCTGGTCTGGCATGAGGGATGAACAAGTGAAAGGAATCCACAGACACAGCTGAGGAGGAGGGTAGCAATCTGGAGATATCAAAGTCAGTGGTTTCGGGAATGGTGGCTGCTCCTCCTCCTCCTCCTCCAGCTACAGCTCTCCCCACCCACCATTCAATGTGTGCAGGGGTGCACCCCGACTTATTTAAAGGCCCCCTGAATTTAAAAAATCCTGGCTACGGGCCTGGTGCCGCTTCAGGTTAAGATGATTTGTCAACTGGGAGGCATCTTGACTGGCTGTCTAGACTAAACTCCTAAGGTTTCCAACCTCCAGGTGGAGCCTGGAGATCTAGAATTACAATTGATCTTCAGACTATAGAGATCAGTTCCTCTAGTGAAAATGGCTGCTTTGGAGAGTGGAACCTATGGCATTATACCCTGCTGAGGTCCCTCCCTCCTCAAACCCTGCCTTTTCCAGGCTGTACCCCCAAATCTCCAAGAATCCCCTACTCAGAGCTGGCAATCTTACCCTAGAAATCTCAATAATGGTACAGCCGCCTTTTTCATACTGGTGATATTAGCTAGGATGTTATGCTATGTCCCTTTAATAAAGTGGTTCTTTTAATCAGTGACTGCAGTGCACCTCTTGATTTCTTTCCTTCTGTAACATACCAGTTTCACATTTGCTCTGTCCTTTTAGGGTGAGTTCTCAAAGAGCTAAAAGACAAGTGTACTCCAGTCATTTTATATCAGCAGTCCTGGAAGTCTGTAACAAACTAAAAAGGTCTTCTAGTCCACCTTCATCAGCAGTGGTATAATTTATTTGTAATAATAGCTGCAGTTTAGCCAATTCAATTTCTTTATGGGTGAAACATGATGAAGTAAGATTTACAGCTATGGTAAAAATAGTCATTGCTTAAGTCTAGACAAATTAAAGCTGTGAATGAATAATGAGAACCGTCTATAGTTCTGTTACTTTACATAGATTTGTAACTGTTGGATCATTAGGATCCTCTCTGATTGCATTTGAGATAATAGTCTCTAGTGCTAAGGAAACCAAAGGGTCTTTATCAAGAAATTATCAATGTATTTTAAAGAAAGACTGACTATCTGGAACTAACATTCCAGAATCACAGAATCTGATCAGAATAAGTTTTTTAAGGGGTACAGTGACTGGAAATTGAGAAGGATTCTGACTCTTTACCTTGTTTGTCTGCATCTTCCCCCCCCCTAAAAATAACAAGATTAGATGTCTTATTCCAGTATGGTATTCAAATACTAACACAATAGGCAACAGTTTTTTAAAAATATGACAGATGTTAGATACCATATTTTATCTGTTCCCCTTGTAACACTAATGACAGGGGGCACTTGAAAGGAAAAATCAGTAGTTGAGTGGGGGCACTTAACTGCAAATCTTATGTTTGGGATAGGTATTTGCTGGCATAATGTGTATAACATTTTGGAGCTACTGAAAGAGAACTTTCCCCGAAGAAAAATGTTTAAAATATACTGGTCATTCTCTGAGAGTTTAAAATCAGTTTTTCATTAAGTAAGTTCTTTGCATTGATTGGCTTTGCCTGCTGATTGCCCATTAAAAATCACTTTAAGTTTCCTACACAATAAAATTGCACAAGTTAACTGAAGACTTACATTGATATCTTCCAAATCTAAAAAATTCAACATGACTCCATTGCGTTTCCAGATGATTGGAGGCCTCAGAGGTCCACGGATAGCACAGGTCAATACAGTGCTCAGCCCTACGGTTACTGTGGTCATGCTAACCATTTGATCTTCAGGAAGTGTGAGTTGAACCACCTCTGTGAAAGTAATAGCAAAAAGTAATTATTATCATGTACACAATGAATCTGGCCTTTTCACTGATTGATTGGAGAGGTTTCAGCAATAGCTAAGATATGAACTGTAAAAAAGGTCAACTTTAGAACAACAATGTGAAATAGGATACACTTCAGCAAACCTAGATTACAGCCTAATCCTTTATTTCATGCTTCTTGGTTGTCAGACTACCTCCCAGCTATTTAGAGAAAGACAGTAATATCATCCATTCTCATTTCCACCCTACAGAAATCGAATTCATATTAAATAGACTGTAGGACAAACTAAATGCAATAAAATTTTATCTACAAGTTTTTCTGAGACTAGC